TTGTGGTAGCAGCCTCTTCTGCGATGAAAAACCCAAGTGGAAAAGGACTTGGCTTCACCTGGTATTTTCAATTGACATTAGTTGGCACAGAAGAGAAACGACTGGCGTGCTTTGTTGAACTCAGCAAAAATCGTTTAGGCGGTTATGGCGCCACACAAGAATAAGAAGAATAACAATGCAAACATTCATTTTAATATGTCGTTTGGTTTCGAAGAAAATGTGAAATTTTTCACTCAGTTTGCCAACCCTGTGGAAGTTTTAAGAAAAATATAAGTACAGAATTGGGTTCCTCATACCAGAAAACCTCTATAACATGTTTTAATACAAAATTTAAGCACTTCTATACGACACTACAGCACAATGCTAAGAAACCTATTTTCGCAATTAGGCAAAGTGCAAACTTATTTTAGGCCCATGGTTTCTTCGGCAAATCTGCTTAGAATATATATATATGTGCTATACGCGCATAGTAGAAATACAGATACAGAATTGACCCGCCCTAATGTTTATACATACATGCACGCAATATGCACACATCATCTAACTCTGCGCTTCCGCGCTCGCTTTTACGCAAAATTTCTCAGCGAATGGCGAGTTGCATTTGTCGTTTACGGAAAGCAAACAAATTTGCGGTTTTCTGAAATGAGGTTGGAAAAGTTTTCGTACTTATATACATACATATGTACATAGCTACATACATACGTATGTATATGTGAACTTTTATGTACATTCATACATACATATACACTATTTGGGACACGTTGTCAAAGAACTTGACTAGCAATGTTGGCCGTTGTAGAAAGTGTGTATTAGGGATGTTGCGAATGTGGAATTTTAGACATCCGCGGATGCGAATATCTAACAGCTAACATCCGCGGATGCGGATGCGAATGCGGATGTCAAGAATTTTTAAGAAACAATTAGAATCTAGCATAATGACGAGATCGTTGTTTAAACAGCGCTTACAAGCCAAACCAGATACATATATCAGGTTGTTCTAAAGCTTTTTAAAAAGAATTCTTCATTCTCATTGGCTGTTTCAGAATTTGGGGAATCTGTAACTTCATCAGCGTTTTTCGATTTTAGTTTTTGTAATTCATTTTTAATACTTTCTGCTGCAACTGGTTTGAAAAATGTGTGCTTTTGGCGAGCTAAATAGGTGGATATGGAAAATAAATTATTATTTTCCAGGAATGGAAATTTTTAACAAAATTCTGTTTTTAAAGTCGTGGCTGCCAGCCGAATCAGATCAGAATATTGGTTTTTTTTTAAAGCACCCTGTTTTTCATAAGCATTCGAATCTCAGATAGTTACGTAATTCTTATCTTATTAAAGGTCAGACCTATAGTTTTTTAATTATTTGAGCATCCCCAACAAACATTTAGGTTTGAGCTTAACTTGAGGTTGAGTTGAGAACTAAGGTATTTCTCGAATCTCCAACGTTGTTTCTTAACAGTACATCAAGTGGTGGGCATTTTTCTTTGTATGAAAAAAGTACTGTTTCTCAAGTTGAGAAAATGCTAGTTTTCAACTTGAACTCCAAAGTAATTCTCCAATTGGTCTCAAAAATATCATTAAAATACTGAAATTGAAATAGTAAAATAACTTATTTTATTTAGATTATTTACTTTTTGTCGGTAATTTTCCTCTTTATTTAGCTTTCATTTTTCACTTGATAATTAAAAATTTGTTTCTTTATCACTTTTTACGTATATGCGCGTCGGTTAGAGATGAGTTGGAGAATTATGTTGGATATCAACTTGAGAACTATGAATTTCTCCAGGGTTGGAGAAATATTTTTTTGATGTTTAATGGGTCGATTCTCTTTATAGCCAGACGTTGATCATTTCTGCTGGAAATCCCTATTGAAGGAGCTTACTCTTTGACTTTAAATAGCAAAGAAGGGACAGTTTTACCACAGAAGTTTTTAGCCAAGGATTCAATGTATATCCCTATGAACAGTGCACACTTTCTTCTTTTGTGTCTAGTAGTTTTTTAAGATTGGTCCAAAAAAATCATAATAAAAAAAGAAACCAATGCAGGCACAGAAAAAAATTTTTTTTAAAAAGACTATGTTCCCTTTGACGTACGTCAAAGGTCAAGAAGAAGTTGGAACTTGTACGACTGCCCATTGATAACGCGGTTATATAGCTTAAGAAATAATATGTTTAGCGACATTTTTGTCAAAGTTGATATATATGACATTTGACCAGTTTTGTTACACCAATACTCCCACGACCACAGGCAAAAATATTGGCTACAATTTGTCATTTTGTTTGCCATATATACGTTTTATCGGTGTACTTGAACAACATTCGCATTCGCAAAAGCTCCGCATTGATTGTTGCGAATGCGAAAGCGAATGCGAATGTTAATTTTAATGGGGAAGTTCCGCAGTTGCGAATGCGAATGCGAATATTCGCAACAACCCTAGTGTGTATCTTGGCATGCACATTTGTATGTATAATGTGGTTAGTTGACGCTACCACTCCTGCGGATCTGGTTTCGATCCCTGGTCCCAGCAGCATCTGAATTTTTCCAGCAGATATTAAAGTTTGATACAAGTGAAAGGGCGATTAACTCAACTAAACAGCAAACATAATTTCATCCACAGTGAAACGTACTGCAACTACTATAGGATAAAATTCTAGGACCGTTACATGAAGGTTTTTTTAAGTAACAAAATTTAAAGAATATGCTATATGTATGTATCTGCTTCCTTGGGTATGCGATAGGTAGTGCAAATGCCGTTTTTAAATCGATTAAATCGGAGTACGACTAATCGACCCCTGCCGATTCGATTTTTTGTCGTTTTTTTTCCAATTCGATCCGTGATCGATTCAAAGAATTCGAGAATCGACGTTCGATTTTTCCTCAACTATTACATACGATTTGCCCCAGAAAATCTATAAAAATTTGAAGAAATTTGATTTTGAGGCTGGTACAAAAAAATAGCATCAGACAGCAAAGACCAAATAATTCAATGACCTGCCTATCTTTCTCCTCCGACTATAGGGCTCCTCAGGAAATACTCTTGAAAATAACTCTCTATAATTTATAGCTAATAATTAATAAGTGGAACAAAAACTCCAAACTTTAGAATTCCAAACATTATGCAAATTTTTATAAAAAATTGTCACGTCTTAATTACTCTTTTTATATTTTTTTTTAAAAGGGTAATTAAGAAGTGAAATACAGTCAGCGAAAAAAAAACTAAAAACGTGCGCATTGCAAAACAATATATGTACGTAAGCTCCATTCATCTTCTTATTTGGCGCTGTAACCGCCAAAACGATTTTGGTCGAGTCTCTTCTGTGCTAACTGACGCCAATTGGAAGTGCAAGGTGAAGCCAAGTCCTTCTCCACCTGGTCTTTCCATCGCATTGGGGGCCTCCCTCTTCCTCTGCTACCGCCAGCGGGTGCCGAGTTGAACACTTCAAAGTTAGTTCAAAATTAGGGCCAAAATCGTTCAATTGAGCTGTTTTCGCATTTTGTTTTACTTCGTATTTGAAATGCAACTTTGTAATAAAGACAAATGGGATGATAGAGAAATAAATTATAAAGATTAAGACAAAGGAGTGAAGACGGTTGAGTTATCGTAACGTATCCAATTATTCAAATTGAGCAATGTTTATTGAGTTGTCGAATTTTATAGGCAAAGAAAATTAGTTGTCGAAATTTACGGATAGCTATCGAGCTCTAAAAAATTATGGGATTACCGAAATTTGTCAAAATATATTTAATTTACATTATTTAGCGAATAAACGAAATTTATCGAGTTATCGTAATGTAACGAGTTCCTTCAACTTATCGAGTTATCGATATTTATTGATCTACTGAAAATGTTCCATTTACTGAACCGAAGTTTGTAGAACATTCAAAATATATTGAGTTATCGAAATATCAAATTTATATAAGTTTATGGAGTTATAACTGCTTATCGAAGTTTGTCGATAGCTTTCGAAAAAGTTGGTGTTCTCCATTAACCGAGTTATCGAAATTCATAGAGGTACCAAAGGTCTATCGAGCTATCGATTTATATCGACGTATATGCATTTTTGAGCTATCGAAATTTATAAAGCCGTCGAAAAGCACAGTTATCGAAATTTATCGAAGCTAGTCGATTTATCGAATATTGTAGAGTAATCGGATTTTCGTGTTTTTTAAATTTATTGAATTATCGATGTATATCAAACTATCTATATTGGGTTAATTCCAAGTCCTACCAAAGTATTCCAAAGACCTTTAAAGATATACAAAATTTTAGCCACGTTTCAGTTCCAAAGCAGTATATTTTGCACCTTTTAAGTTAAACCACGTGCTAAGTTAGAAAACCACTCCAAGGGTTCTAAAAAACTTCAAAAACGGCCAAATTTCGACAGTAACAAATTTATTTACCCCTAACCCTGTTTATTGCTAAAACAACACAAGTCAAGGACAGTTTTTCCGAATTTTTTTCTTGTTAATATTAATAAAATAAAAAAAGTTATTCGACATTTTAATCTCTTGAAACTTAAGCACTATATTCAGTCCAAAAAAAGTCCTTTAAAACCCCTTTAATTGTGAACACACAGTTTTTATTGATTCGTGTACGATTCCAATTGTGTGACTTTTTGAAATGTGTGGGTTTTTGAAATGGCCAATTCAATTCGATTCATTCATGAAATACGAGCAGGAAATTATGTTACTCATACGCCATGTAGGAAAAGAATAACAATTGATTACGCAAACTTAAAGCATTTTGTGGAACTTACCACCAATGGAAACAGTCTGGCAATATTCAGTTTTGATTTTTAACAAAGTTAAGTAACATTTAAGTTATTGAATAACTTCTGTTAATTATAAAAAATCACCAAGAATTATATGCAGCATGAACAGTACACAGGGTTCAAACATGACCAAATTATTTAAGACGAAAGTTTTTATAGGAATCACTTTAATCGTTTAAAGTCTGAAATTAATAGCTTTCTATTTTTTGTCATTGCAGAGCGTAGCTAAAGAATAAAATGCTGCAAGAATGTTCAGCGCGAAAATTGCCTAAATGCCTTTGCTCCAATTAAAATACTGATTTGAACATAAAACATAAAAAACGCCTAAATAAAACAAATACCAATAAAAGGCGATCATAAAAAAGAAAAACAAAAACTTTTTCGCTGCTGTTTTGAAGGCACATTTGCTGAATAAATATTTGTGAAGAATTCAGCGGAAGATTGGGCGTGAGCTCAGTCACCAGGAAGCATCTAATGGGAGCACGTACCATTTCGTTGTCTGAACCGACAGCTGTTGTAATTCCATTGGGACACTACTCCTCCTACCGAAACACTAAAAAAGAAAATTTCACTGAACTGTAAAGACAGAAATTAAAAGAATAAATAAACACGTAAAAGTTGGCTTGGAAATCTGAAAACCATAACCAAAATCACCAGTTGTGAATAATAATATTAAGTTACAAATTACGGGAAAACACATTGCGTGTACGCTTGACAGCCATCGTTGTGTAAGTGCATGTGTATGCGTGTGCATTTAAGCGTTACTTCCCACGCCATAGTGCAATTGTCAAGGAGAACGCTTCAACATTGTTGCAAATCATCAAGAATTTATTCAATTCGCCAACTGAGAACAAACAACGTAGTGCAAAATTTTAAACCCCAAGGCACTATTTAGTCGCGGATTTTATAGTGTTTTGTAAAATGTAACTGTGACATTTATCTAGATTTAATACCGCACAACAATAGCAGCAAGAAAATATTAAAAAAAAATTAAGTTACATACTAATATCACATGTGTAAGCTGCATTTCCATAGCGACGACGAAAAATCGGCCAAAGGCATTTAACGTGGGAGCACAAAGATTGCACGTGTAGAAGAAAGCGGCACTTTGTTTTCGTGTCGCACGGGCGCGCCCCATTTGGAACGACGACAAACAGCAGCAGCTCCGTAATTCCTTACGGGTATCTACAACCCTCCATAGGCACATTGTAAACACTTCGCAATTAATTTGACGACACCCTACAGCTGCTCTTTAAGGACTGCAGACAGCAACTGTTACCGTTTATAATACCATCGCAGCGAAACTTTTTATCGGCATATCCATTATTCCGCCAAAATGCGTGGCCGTCACCTACGAAGGCGCTTTAGCCTGCAACCGTCCTTTATGAAGGACGAGAGTGCCGACGAGAAACCCAAACGCGACAAGTAAGTCATAGCCATAGATTAGTTTATATGAATGACTAATTGTGCTAAGCATATAAGTTATGTAACGTAGATTAAAGTGTAACAGGGAAAAATCCACTAAATTAACCCTGAAATTTTAAAATCTTGTATAAAAAAACTTTTTACGTAACTTTGCTAATTCAATAATTTGAACTCTATTTTCGGGTTTAAATATGGGTTTACAAAGAATAATTTTACTCTTTTCAGAATAAATATGTAAACTTTTCCAGATTCTGAAATCCAGAACATAAAAAATCAGTTTAATATGAGACATTTATTTTCATATTGGACACCACATTTGATGTCACACTTTCGATTGGATTCAAATTTTTTTATGGGTTCTATTCATGAAATAAACTAACACGTACTCGAGGAATTTCTTTTTTTTCTTCGTATATATGATCTGTCAAAGTTTGCATTTTATCGTGATTCTTACTAATCATGTACTACTTCAAATCGTTATATCTCGGGTTCTGCGCATCATAGAGACTTCATCCTGACGTTTTCAATAAAAGAATATTATTGAAATGGCCACAGCTATATTAAAACCAGAATTCAAAAATTTAGACTTTATTGTAGATTTCGCCAGAATATCTATATGGATTGAAAAAGTAGTGAAACAACTATTGTTAACGAAGTGATATTCTGCCGAAATCCGCAATAAAATCTGTCTTTTGCTAACTTTAGTCCTGCAATTGCCACGTTCATTTCTAAGGGTTTGTCACCTTAAAGAAAAATCTTGCCCTACAAATATTATATCTGGATAGGTTCTAACGAAATCCGCAATAAAATTTTACTTTGCAAAACCCCATTATTTAACACCTTACTAAATATATCTCAACATAAGTTTTCGAAAACAAATTACAAAAAATTGTTGATTCTCACAAAATAAACCATCTCGTCATAAAGAAAAATATTTTAAAAAAATAATTCTTGCAAAACGACCATTTCTTTTTTGACCACATTTTTTTATAGAGAATTAAACAAGAATTACGATGGTATAATTTTAAATCCCTAATTTACTGGATTCACTGTGCAAATCAACTTCAAAAAGTTCAACTGTTAAAAGCTAACTTGGCTTTAGGATATTCTTGACTATTTTAAATATAGAACTACTAAGCCGTTTCTTTAGCTTTAAAACCAGGACTTCGGAGCGGAGCGGAGCAAAGGAACAAGGCGCTAAGGAGCAAAGGATTTTGGCTGGGGTGAGGCTGAAGCAAAGAGCTAAAACAATTCATTAGCTCCTTAGCTCCTTAAAGAAAATTAAATTTACTTAGTTCTTTTATTTTTGCCACTGAAAACAAGCGTGTTAAATAAATTTGCACTCTGTTTATACTTGGATATACTGTTCATTACACAATACCCGGAAGTCAGGGATAATTGCCACGCCAAACAGCAGAGATACGTTAATTTTGTCGACGTGCGGTCTCGTACAATTTTAAGCATCCGAAAACTAACGAAAAAAGGACTTAAATTTTCATTCATTTTTTGATCCGGAAAACGTTCGAAAGTGATGATGTTATTTGAAAGCAATAATTGTATTTTACTTGTTCAAGCTGAACATTTGAAAGCATGTACACGTAGTCGGCAGTGGGTGCAGAGGAGCGTGCTAGTATTTTTTACCTCCCTTTTATTAGCTCGGTATGTAACTATGTAATATTAATGCACCTAAAAGATGCAGCGATTTCTATTCTCAAGTTACATACCTGATGACAGTACGAATGGAAATTATAATAGCGAGGCTTTAGTTTTTTAAACTATAATTCTTTAGCTTTCAGAAGGAGCCGGGTTTGAGAGCCCTCAGTTGCTGCCCTATTTCGTTTTTTTTTTCGAACCATGAAAAAGCAGAAGGAAAGCGTATTAAACGAAAAATTCAATAAGACGAAATTCGTAAAGACAGCCAAAAACGTATCCGTTTCAAAACAATTTTCGGTTCTTGCTTTTAATTTTTCTTTGGATACAGCAGTGCTTATAGAGTATGTAGATGCATATCTGCATCAAAAAGAAAATAAAAAAAGAATTCGGTATATCTTGGGTGGTTAGGGTTCGATAAGTAAGTAATTAAATAAACAAAATAAATATTTTATTGGGAGCGGGAGCGGAGCTCGCAGCGAATTATTACAACACAATAAAAGCTTTTAAATTTCCAAGAAACTTCTTTTAATTCAGTTATAGAATATGGCGTAAATCGACTTGAATTGAGAACCTCACCATTAGGAAATATTAACAAATCAACTCATTCAGCCCAACGGAGTAAGCTTTTATTGTTTAAAATTTTTTACAAGTAGGCTAATATAAAAGCATTTGCTAGTGTATAAGCTATTAACTTAACATATATGCGGGTTTCAAGATTTATTTAAAAGTTTTAAAAATTAGTACACTTGTTACATTAAAATTATAATTTAAACAAGTAAGAAAGTCTAAGTTCGGGCGGAGCCGAACATTAAATACCCGACGCAAGTATTAAATATATGTTTTTTCACCTTTCCGAAAGCTACCGCTAGGTGGTAAGCAGGGGTGTATCAATTTTGAGTAAATTAGCGTCCTTAAATTTCGAAATATTGCAGTTTCAACCATTTCTGAAATTTATCGTTATATGAAAAGCGGCCGTAATTTAAATCCGATTTCAATAATTTTCAACGTTTTGCTTTTATGTGGCAAGCACAATAAAAATACCGAGTTTGGTATAAATTGGTATAACGGTTACCGATATACATATATGTGATCATAAGTGGGCGGTGCCACGCCCATTTTCCAAAATTTTACCATAAACGTATTTCTTGGTAAAGAATTGTTGCAAGCACCAATTTTGAATAAATTAGCTTTAATATTTACTGATTTATCGAAGATTTTGTATGGTTGTGGTCCGATTTTTAAAATTTTCGGCCATTTAGTATGTTGTACCAAGGCCAACAACTGCGCCAAGTTTGGAAGAAATTGGTGCAGCGGTTACCAAGATATACACATGTAACCATAAGTGGGCGTGGCTACGCCCATTTTCCAAAAATTTATAATATTCTTATTTTTCGTCTGAAAATTATTGTAAATATTACTTTTGAGTGAATTATCTTCAGTAGTTACTAAAATATCGCAGTTTTCGTATTTCTGGAAATTACCGTTATATGGGAAGTGGGCGTGGTTAGAATCCGATTTCGCCCATTTCAATACCAACCTACCTTGGATTAACAGAAACCTACATACCAAATTTCGTTGAGATATCTCAATTTTTGCTCGAGTTATCGTGTACACGGACGGACGGACAGACGGACAGACGGACGGACAGACAGACATGGCTTAATCGATTTCTCTATTCATTCTGAGCATTTATGTATACATTTGTCTATATCTGTCTCGATTAGTTTTGGCTGTTACAAACAACCATTATGTGAACAAAATTAATATACCCTAGTGCACAAGTGCGCTCGGGTATAAAAAGTTACGTGGTGCTTGGTGTACGTCCGCACTGAAAATAAAATTTCGTAAAAGTGCTACGAAAAACTTTCGTAGACTTGGTTTTTGTACAATGTACGAAACTTTCTTTCATAATACGAACACATTTTTCACAACGAAACAAGATTTTATGAACCATTCGTAAATATAACGAAAGGACTTTCGTAAGGCATTTTTTCAGTACAATTTACGAAATCTTACGTTTATTTTACGAAACACATTCGTAAAGCACTGAACAAATCTCTGTACGAATAATTTTGTATAT